CGTTTGTGGGTTGTTTTCTTTTTTTAATGCCGCCATTCTTTTTCTAGGACCTAATGTGACTTCAAAAAAATCTTATTTACTAATGACCTGCAAGAACCAACCCTTCCCTTCACACGTTTTAGCCATGAGATGAAGTCACCAGCAAATGAACCCTTTCCCTGTTGAATGAAAGCTGCACTCTGGGCAACCTTGCACTCAAGACTTTCTGCACTTGGCTCCTAGGGTGTTTGCTCTGAGATCACTGATGAGCACAGCCTTTGCGTGCTCCCAGCCAGTCAAGCCCTGTCCTATTCCCCTGATTTTCTGCCATCCAGATAAAAAGTTGTTGTTTCTCTCGTTAAGGGTGGCATGCTGACAGTCAGGACAGCATCTAGCCTGCAAGGCAGGCAGCTGCTTCCACTGCTGCAGGAGCTGTGCATCAGAGCCCGTTCATCCCTGCTGACCCTGATGCTGCCTGCCTAATCCCAATAAATCACAGGCTCAGACAGCTCCTGCAAACACCCCCTGATGGGCACCAAAAGCAAGGAGGAAGCAGAGCACAGATTTTTTTTTTTTTTTTTTTTTAATCTTTGTCATTCCTGCAGTTGTGCCAGCTGAATACTGCCTTATAATATTCACTCCTGCAAACGCCCTCCCAAGAGGAACATGTGGCAGGGAAGATCAAGCTGTGCTTTCTGCTGAGCACAAAAGTCATGCAGGATGACCAGACCTTGACTGCCACACAACTTTCCTTTCAGCAATGTTTTTTTTTCCAGGAAAAGCATAGTCTATTTTCTTCAGAGCAGCCCCATATAGCAGTGGCCTGATAAAGTCAGTGCCCTGAGCGCCCTGTGATGGTGTTTCTTCCAGGTTGCCCCATGACATCTCAGGTGCAGCCCAGGACTTGTCTGTGCTTTGCTGCTCAAGAGTGAGTGCAAAAAGCATGCACTTCCTCTGTTCCAGGAGGACAAGCATTGTCTGGAGCTTTTACAGCATGTCTGCAACATTTAGTTAAGGGTTCACCTGGGCATAGAAAGACAAGGTGCTGCTTTCCCTCCAGATAGGAAATGGCAAAATTAAAGGGAATTAAAAGAGATGAACTGTGGTCCTGCCAGTAGAAAGTTACTTGGATTTAAATCCTACCACTGATGCCTACTCTGTACCATATAGGATTTCTACTATTCTGCATGACTCACATAGAAGCAGCAACATACCCAAATACGGGCAAGTACTTGCAGGTCCAGCTTGTAGTCTCTTAGGCAAGAGTAGCATAAATTACTCATAGGATAACACATGAATAAGCCCAAATGAGTCCAAAAACAGACTTCTTAACATAGCCACAAAGGCACCGAGATCCAGGTTTTGGGTTGGATTTAGATAACATAGCCCCATTGATCACTGCTGCAGTATCTAGTAAATAACTTGCTTTTCCACTTTAGAATCATGACTGAGCCCGTAATTATTTAGCACCACATGCCAACTTCCCAAGCGAGTTAAAGATAAGGCACATTCATCAGCACTGCCATTGGTCTGCTTGTTCAGAATCGGTGCCAACCACACCAGTAAGCTGTGGGTCAGGCAACCTGCAACTCCTTAGCTACAGGTTACACATAAAACAAGCATAGAAACATCTAAAACAACTATAAAAACAGGAGAGAGGAAAAATAGAACAATAAAAATAAAAGAAAAACCAGCACAATAATATTTGCTAGAAGCAACAGATTGTTTTAGGTCAGGATGATTTATATAATAATTGAATTTTGGGCAAAATCTGCCAGCTGATATATGCAAAACATAAATCACAACTGACTGAACTTGTTCATCAGCATGGGAAGCTTCTTCTTGGAGAGGGAAGAGAGGGAGAAGCTTCTCTAATAAATAAGAATTAGAAGTATTTATTGCAGTATGCTTAAAATGCTATCTTTCTTGAAAATCTTTCTATTAACACAATTTCTTTTGGATTCATCTATCTTTATAAGAGATCTGTTCCCTTCTGTAGTCCCTGTGTGAAACCTCAGCTTCTTTCCACTCTGCTCCCTGCAAATCCTTGCAGCCAGCATCATACCAGACACCAAGTAGCTTTAATTGCTATCAGCAGCAATCAGGACAGGAAAAAAAGAGAGTATTCACCAAGCTGCAGCCAGGATGCAGAACAGGTAACTCTCAGCTGGCCATGGTCCCTCCATGCTTCCTCCTTGCCCGCAGGGGGCTGTTGGAGATGCATGTAGATGAACACCTTCATGGCAGCCTCACTTTGAGCACTGTGTGCAGACTGGGGCACCACAGTGCAAAGAGGGCATAAACCTGTTAGAGAACCAAAGGAAAGCTACAGAGATGATGAAATACCCAGAGGGCAAGACGAATAGGGAGCAGCAGAGATCCCTGGGTGTGCTCTCAATGCAGAGCAGAGGAGCTGAGGGGAGGCCTGATGGCAGCTGCAGCTCCTCACAGGGAGTGGAGGGCAGTGCTGAGCTCTGCTGGTGTGACAGCAACAGGGAGGGAACGGCATGGAGCTGCAACAGGGGAGGGCAGCTGGGGATTAGGGACAGGTGCTGCACCGCAGGGCAATGGGCCCAGCCTCAAGCAGCCCAAGTGCAAGGAGCATCTGAACAGCACTATTGTAGCATGTGTCTGAGATTTGGGTGGTGCTGTGTGGAGGCAAAGGTTGGACTCAGTGGTCCTTATGCCTATCTCTTCCAACTCAGGGTATTCTATGATTTTCCTAAACGGCACAAGGTTAGTCATAGCTTGCCTGAATTCCAAATGATGGTATATTAACTTCTCTTTATAAAACACTTGCAATTCTATAGAGGGAATTGGGGTTGGAGGGAAACATGTTCCAAGTACCTGTCTCCAAGCTGTGAATTATAGGAAAATCTGAACATCTTGAACACTAATTCAGAAAGGTGAGCTGTTGCAACTTCATGCAAAGAAATTGAAGAGATTTTACTGTAACATACTTTCAGTTACTATAATTATTGAACCCTGTATTCAAACAAACTCTGCAGACACAATCCACAGACAAATCCCCCAGGGTGATATTTGAAGGCAGGAACTGTAAATAACACATAGGAGTAACAGCTGGAGTCTTTAGCAACACGAGGCAATTCAAGTCCTGTGTCCCCATGCTCTGAATTTGTCCTGCAGAATCCAATTGCAATTTCTGCACCAAAGTATTTGTGACACTTCACTGCCACCAAGAGCTTCCAAAGCCATATTGTGCTTTTTTTTTTTTTTTATAGCATACCTTCTTCCTGACTTCAGGGGAGAAGACGCTGGAAAATAACTAAGAGAAACTGCTACTTTTGTCTCAGTTATTCTTTTCTCACCCCAATGCAAGTTTTCCTCTCTCCCAGCCTGTTTCACCTCAGCAGTTTGGGAAGGCAGTGCTTTACTCCTAGGGACTCCTGTACTTGTTCAACGTCAGTGACTCCTACTGCTAGCACAGGGATTGTTGTGGTTGAAGTGAATCAGTAGTTCAGAAAACAAGCAGCAAAAACAGAACTTCATAAGTATTGCTACAAAAAAACTGATCATATTAATAAAATAATCAGAAGACAAAGGGAAAGTTTGCATTGAATTGTATCAGGATGACCATAGAAGCTCATACCGAAAGTCAACAAGAGGACTCCTATCACAGGTTGTAGGACAAACTCTCACCCTAAGCACACATCCAGAAGTTTTTACAAGACATAGTCATCATCTTATCTACAGATGTATCCTCGCATTCCTACCATAGCACAGCTCTAACATCTCACATGAAAAAGAAGGAAGCTGAATGTGTCCCAGGTCTGCTCCCCTACTGCTGTCAGTGCTACCTCCAAGTCATAACATAAGTACCTTAAGAAACGAGCAGATGACAAAGCACTACAGTTCCCTAAAAGCAAATCCTTCCAAAGACGTGGACTTCAAATTTTGTTATCAAATGAGCAAGTGCTCATTATTTGATAAGATGGAAAGTGTAATACTCAGCAAAATTATGATATATGGGTACACTTTGGCATTAAAGAGAACAAACAAATTCTCACATTTCAGTTTTTCTTCTAATCTTTCATTGGAATACGTGACTAGTGATATTTCAAATAGATAAATGCTGTTTTATTAAAAAACATCAGGCTTTTCAGAATTTTAACCCTTGTTTTTATAACAGCCACTAACACAGAGGCACTAAAATTAATATAAGGTCTGCTCTTGGTAGATACTATTGTTTCCCAAGAAAATTCCCCCTAATCCCCCCCCATGTAATGGGACACAATACACCACTTAGTAGCAGACCTTAATTGCACATTTCCAGAAGTAGTAAACATTTGGATGACAATTTCCTTCTGTGTTTTTTTTCCTTATTTAATTAATTCATAATGATGGAATTAGAGATTTCCTCCTTACTTAAGCTTGATATAAGCCTCATTTACGGAACTTCAAGATTAGGATAATTTGAATGATTCCATATTTCTGATGTTTTATAAACATAATGAGAGGAAACAACTTCATATGTTGTTTACTTCATTATCTAGAGGTCAAGTAGTTATTTGGTATGGAAGGGATAACAGTAATGAATTATAGAGTAAACAAAATAACATCATCATTGCTTATACGTATTAAAATTATGCCTGAAGACAAGCTGCTGTTCTGGCAACACACAAACAACTCAGCCCTTATCCATAAAGAACTGTTAGGTTTTAAATACCTGAGCCAGTAGAGGACAAGCACAATAACAACAAGAAATAGAAATAGAACAAGAAGAGTTACAATGCTCAAATATCAGCTTGTTAGTTTTTTTGTTTGTTTTCTCCTTTTTAAGTCTTTGCTCTAGGGCTCACTTAGAAAAGCAACATTTAAGTAAGAGAGAAAACCTAACGAAAGGTAGAAAATCAAAGTGAATAGCCAGAAGAAAGGAGTCAGCCCAGTTCACACACACACAAAAAAAATGAAGTCTATCAAAAATGCCCTGTTCCCAAAAGGCAGCATAGCCTCCACAACCACAGCAAGTGCTCCAAGACCACTAGAAACAACCACAGTACCTTTTCCTGGTGCCTGTGCTTTCCAGTCCTTAAGGTACAGCTTCTTCCAGGATTACCCCAAGTTCTTACCAGCTAATCTAGTTGAGACAGAAATCATGGTTTACAACATTGCTCTCCTGCAGCTGAGAGTGGTAAGGAGATGAGTGGGCCCAGGTGGAGCTTGTTGCCTCTGCAGTGGCAAATGAGGTAGCACAATCTGCTTTTCCATCCTTCACAGGTTAATATGGAGCTCATCATGTTTATTGAGGAAAATAGCCTGAATGACTGAGTAGATTCTTACCTAAAGATAAAAGTTGTAACAGCAAAGATAAGTGATTAAGCTATGTTTAATTAGTATAAACACATATAACATCCTTGTGAAACTCCTTATCTTTTTCTTCTTTGATGTCCTGATTGATAAATTGCTGGAGTGTGTGAGCATATCAGAGGTTACTAGTAAGCTTAGAAGGGGCAAACGAATATAGAGAGGGATAGATAGTACAATAAATGCAGTAATAGTTTGCAGTATTGAAAACAGTATGAGGAAAACAAATATGAGCCTTGAGCTCTGAACTGTGATTCTTCCACTTTCCAGCCTGAACAGTAAGAACCTTTTATAGCTATTTAAGTACCAACAAGCACAAGCTCTACAAATTGCCTCAGTGCCCAGATATCATGCCTGTACGATGTACCTGTGCCTGTAACTTCATCTCATACCAAATTTAAAGTGATATAACCTGAGGGACACTTTTACGTGATGCTTTCAGACCTTGGACAGGATCTCTAGAGTGGTGGGAGGCATCTGAGATGGACTATGCAGCACTGCAGTCACAACCATGCCACCTCCTGAGAGAGCAATAGGGGAAACATAAAGGGAAACTCAGAGATGAGAAGAAAAGTGCTCGTGGTGGTAGAAGACAGCTGAAGCAGAGCAATGGGTGCAATATACATGATGTGAGAGGGAAACTAGGCTTCATGTGGCCATTGTTTCTTTAAGGAAGCTCTAATTGTCACATAAATCACTTGGGCTTTCCTCTGGCTGAAATTCCACTCTCAGATGGTGGTTACTTGCTGATAATGGACTGTAGCATCATTTGCTGTAAATCAGGGTGGCTCTGCAAATGCCAAGGCAGTTAGTTAGACTGATATAAACCAGCTGAGTATCTGGCCCTGAACATCATGCAAACATGCAGCACAAAGGTGCCATCCGCTCAGTGGATTTACAGACATTCTCTGCTAAAATGAATGGGCTTGTCCTTATAATTCACTGCTTTCTATGTCACTGATGTTCTGAGACCAGAGCTGGCATGGCCATTCTTATTCTATGCAGCTTGCAGCCTTGCTCTGGACCACAGAGCAAGATGCCTTGCTCACAGTTTTGTTATACAGAGAGGCTGGGATGCTGCATCCCAATACCCAGACAGGATGTGCCTAAGGTGAAGACTCCATCCCAGGGCTGGGAATCTCTCTGCCTCCCTCTTTGAAGCTCCTTCAGAACTCTCATCCCATTGAGGAACACCCCTCATCCACTGTGTTTGGTCAGCACTGCAGCAGAAATGAAGGAGCTTGTGGGTCCACATGCAGAGCTTCCCAGCATGTGAATTCCATCCCAACAGTGCCATTAATGAGCACTAGAGAAGGCATTAGCTGCTGCTGGGAAATTACAGTTTTCCTGGCTATTTTTGTCTCGGGGTTCTCTGTTTAAAGCTAACTTGGCACCATGTCTCTGTGATGACTATTTACATAATTACAACTGGCTTCTGCTCTAACCCACAACCTTAGGAGTCCCAGGCTCTTTCACATGGATGAAGGAAAATGAAACATGCACATTGCTTTTGAAATCTGTCTCTGAAAATCTCTGATAGCAGCAAGCACTGATTACATCACACATACATCACACAAACAGACACGTTTTTCAATAGGGATTTCAGATTTCCTATTTCTAATTATTTATAGAAATGCCCTTTCCCTCTGATATAAATAATCTCCTCAAACCTTAGTGCTTGCTTGCTGTGAAAAATGATTCACATGGGGCTGCATGTATTGTGTTACTGTGTGTTTGTTCATTGCCATGCATTTGCTGATCCAGAAAACTGAGTCTGAAAATGGTTTCTGGGGAATGGCTCCCAATAAAAACAGTGCCAGTGGCCTCATCCAGCCTCCAAATCCTTGAGGCACTACTGAAATTAACTTGAATTGCATGCAGTAGTGGAAGTGAATGTCTTCATTTTTTTCTACCAAATATTTATAGCATCTATTTTCTCTTCATTGGCAGATTTTGCAACAGATGTTTTAATGAGTTTACCCTCACAGAAGATTAGCTCTGTTAATTTACAGAGTTAATTGTAGTGCTAGATGAACCTGCCATGATTTAAGCAGGCATTTAAGTTAGAACTGGAGTTTAAACGTTTCTTTGAACTTTGACCAAATCAGTTTGATCCATGAAACCAGACAGAAGCTAGGATTCCCATGGGACCCCACGGTCAAGATCCTGCCAATACATCATGCAGGTGCAAAGGAAAATAAGTGATGAGGAAGGAATGTAAGCACAGTTTTGGTGAGCTTAAAGGGTTACTACAGGACTAGACCAGCGTGCAGATAGACTGCAGAAAGATGTGCATAGCCTTCAGACTGCCCTTTTCCCCATTTCACCAATATTTTTTTGCTCCTCTCAAAGGCTGAGCAAATGCTGGTGCCCAGCTGGTGCAGGGATGCTTGTGTCATGTTGAAAGCTGATTCCCAGGGCCCCACTCTGATTTACTGACTTCCCATCAAGTGTATTACTACCCTGTAGCAACAAAGCAAAATCTGATTCTCAGTGACGCTGAGACAGCTCCTGCAGATCTCAGGAAGGCTGCACACAGCAGAAGCCTCAGTGTGAGCTGGTGCTGTAGGGAGCTTTGCTGCCCTCTGTCACACACTCAATAATAATTTCCAGTGAAATTATCTACAGTATATTTTTAAAAGACCAATCGAATGTGAAAAGTTCTAATGACTAAGTGTTGTTTTCACCTTTTATAACGGACTGCTGAGAGAAGTGTACTTTGTCACCAACGAAAAGTGTATTTTAAGAGGTGGAATTGTTTGTTATGAGAAATCACTAAGGTGATCCATTTTGACATCTTAATTATCCTGCCCCCCGCTCAGCACTGATGAGACCTAGCTGGAACACTGCATCAGGATGTGGAGTCCTCAAAGCAGAAGAGAAGATTGCACCCAGAGGAGGAGAAATGATCCAAGGGATGGAGAGGACAGGCTGAGAGAGCTGTGCCTGTTCAGCTTGGAGAAGAGAGGGCTCTGAGATGAACTGATAGTGGCCTTCCAGTATCTAAAGGGAGAGTATAGGAAAGAAGGGGACAGACTTTCTAGCAGGGTCTGTTGTGATAGGATAAGGGGAAATTATTTCCAACTAAAAGAGGGGAGATTCAGATTGGATATAAAGAAACAGTTTGTTTTTTTTTTTTTTTTTTTTTTTACCATAAGAGTAGTGAGGGGCTGGAACAGGTTGCCTAGAGAGCTGGTGGAAATCCCGTCCCTGGAGACACTCAAAGTCAGGCTGGACGGGGCTCTGAGCAAACCAATCTAGTTGTGCATTGCAGCAGAGCTGGAACAGATGACCTTTAAAGGTCCCTTCCAACTCAAACCATTCTATGACTCTTTGATGCAACAAGATTTCCACAGCAGCCTAAAAATAATGTTAATTTATTTGAATAAGTTCTGAAAAAAAAAAGTTTGAAGCACAGTAAGTGGAACATGAAGCAGTAAGAGAGCAATTTGCTTTGTGATATGCCATCCTAACTAGGGAGCAATGTAACCACGCAAATAGCATTACACATATCAGGTTGGGCAGGGGAAGTTTTCCTTCTGTCCTGGAGTTGGTTCGTGCAACCACAACACCGGATAGACTGCAAAAAAGAGCACTGCTAGGCAGCTGGGATCTCATCAATAACTGAACTCATTAGCGGTGTGTGGTGACTTGAGCTGTCATTTACCTCAGTAGACTTAGAGGAGTGAATTGGTGTCTTTTCTGATTTTTCTTTCAAACATTGCTGCTGCTCTGTGTAAATACTTCTTCACAGACAATTAAAAGACCAAAGACAGGAGCAGGAGTTAGAGAGACAACACTGTGTCTTAATTAGATTTTTTGCAAGTAATTGACCCAGGCATGCAAATGGATGTCTGAGATTTGTTACTGCTGTTGCTGTTTTATCTGAAACAGTTTTTCATTAAAATTTTTTTTTTACCAGACATGAAAACTTTCAATAACAAAAGGTTTTGATCTTTTAGGGTTTGAGGGTGGAAAACAGGACTCACTTCTTGACTGCATCTAAAATTCACTCTAAAAAAATCTAAACCAAAATAATACTATATATAATAATAATACTCTGGGCTCCATCAAAAGAGGGGTGGCCAGCAGGGACAGGGAGGTGATTGTCCCCCCTCTACTCTGCTCTTGTGAGGCCCCATCTGGAGTACTGTGTCCAAGTGTGGGGCTCCCAGTACAAAAAAGACAGGGCGAGGGTCCAGAGGAGGGCCACGAAGATGATCAGGGGACTGGAGCACCTCCCCCGTGAAGACAGGCTGAGAGAGCTGGGCTTGTTCAGCCTGGAGAAAAGAAGGCTGTGGGGTGACCTCACTGCAGCATTTCAGTACCTAAAGGGAGCCTACGAACAGGAGGGGAATCAACTCTTTGAAAGGGTTGATAACTGCAGGACAAGGGGAAATGGTTTTAAGTTGAGGGAGATTTAGGTTGGATGTCAGGGGGAAGTTCTTTAGAGAGAGTGGTGAGGTACTGGAACAGGCTGCCCAGAGAGGTTGTGGATGCCCCATCCCTGGAGGTGTTCAAGGCCAGGTTGGATGGGGCCCTGGGCAGCCTGGTCTAGTATGAAATGGGGAGGTTGGTGGCCCTGCATGTGGCAGGGGGTTGGAGATTCATGATCCTTGAGGTCCCTTCTAACCCTGGCCATTCTGTGATTCTGTGAAAATAATACTAATATTACTCCATGGAATGAGAAGTATGAGCATACAAATAGATATAAAAGTTATGTTCACAATGAATCAAACATTTAACATCCCAATAATTTACTGTTGAAGCATACAATATTAAAAAACGAATATGGACATGAAAATCTTACCAGTTGGAGTATCAAACACTACTCTTATATCATATTTTTTATAAAATTAGTGAAGAGCACAAATAAAAAGAATAGCTTATGTCTTGAAACTACGTCCGTACCATTAAGTCATTTATGTATCTGTTGCACTCCTATCCCTTCTGCTCTCACAGCTTCTGAAGGCTGCTGAGCAAGATGTCTGACAAAAGAGAATTCTGATTAATGTTCACAGAATGCTGAAGGGCATGTTTCAGCATCTCTACAAACAGCAGGAGGTGCTGTGTTCACTCTGTGGTGGGCTCTCTGCTTCAGCATGGAGGAAGTCTACCTTATGGGCGAGCTGAGGCATATTAACGGTATCTGAAATAATCACAGGAGAAAGTTTAGACAGTTCTGAAACATGCCAAAATGGAGGGTTTAGAGGGGGCGGTGGAGGGGGAGAGAAGATGTTTGTGTTGTGCTTTGTTTCCCTAATTTACTCTGCTAGCTGGGGCTTTGTTGATTTAGTCTTGTTCCCCAACCAATGTCTCAAAGCATGCAGGAGCGCTGCATGTTTAAGTATTCTGTAAATCTAGATTTGGATATCATCTTCTTCCACATATGTACAGGATTTATTTCAGCAACAGAAAATCTGTTTCTTACCCAAGCACTTCTTCCCTGCCATGCTACTAAATCCCACCTCCTACTTTATCTGGAGGCCATTAATTCCCACCACGCCTGGAGACCTGTGACTTGTGGCCTGGCAATAAGGCTCTTTCACCTGTAAAAGGACCCAGCTTTGTGTTAGCAGGGAGTGTGAGCACAGAGGCTGGAGCATTAACAAGCAGAATTAGAGGGTTTGCCAGCAGCTATTTAGATGAGATTAAAGAAGGTGTTAGGAGAGATTAGGTGCGGATGGGTTTGGAGATAGTGATAGGGGTCAGTGGGGACATAAGGGAGCACATAGGGACAGCGCTGTGGCATCCCCTGGCTCAGGACAAGGTTTGTATCAGTGACAGGCAGTGGAGGTGGGAAGGCAGGGCTTGAAGTGACCATGTCCTGCAGAATCTGTATGAAAATTTCTATCTTCTCCTGTCTTAGCCTATGAATGGCTGGTCCAGCCCTAGAAATCATCTTTTCTCTGCTGTTCTTCCATCTTTTGTCTGTAAGTGATGGAAATGAGACTTGAGAGCATACATCTGACTTGTTTATATTGATCCTTGTAGACAGAAGGCTACTAAAGGTGCCCCGCACTTTTTCTTTTTTCCACAAGTTAATTAATAAGCTCATGCTTCCTACCTGTGAATCCTCCCTCTCTACCCCTCCACCCCTCTCCTCACTGTTAAGCACTCCCAATGATTACAATAACGAGTTCCACAAAAGAATGAAAGAGAAACCCTGTTAGTTCTTAGTTTTTCCTTTTTCCTTACTGGCTTCTGCAGTCTTGAGAAAGGTGAATGATGTGTTTGGGCTCATCCTTCCTCTGCATAATACACCCTTGTCTCAAAATCCACCACTCCTAAAGGAACGGTGCAGCGTGGAAAATGTAAACTTCAGCAAAGGTTACTGTGTAGATAGCATCCCCAAATCCAGAGATTGGATCCCTAAGCCATCTCAGGCAGGAGGAGGATGGAAGGTGGATGAAGGGCTCTCTGTACGGAGGGGGAAAGGTGATAAATATGCGTACGTGCAATAAACCGCGTATATTTAAAAAAAAAAAATGTAGATGATGCAGTAAACATCCACATGGCTAAAGAGACTCTTCACAGAATGACGGCGTGACCGAGACAGGCAGGGCCCTCTGGGTCTCTCCGTTCTTAGCCTTCGTTACTCTACAGCCCCCTGCTGGCAGCGCCGCTCTCAGCCTGACGCAGCCCCCAGTCAGGCGCGGAGCAGCGGAACGAGCGGAGCCAAGCGGGAGGAGGCGGCGGGAGGCCGCCAGGTGGCAGCATTGCACCACCCGGGAAGCCCCGGCGGGGTTTCCTAGCCTTGTTTCTGTAAAGCCGGTTTGTGACACCTACACATCGCCCTCATTACCTGTTCAGCGAGCTGTTGAGTATTTTATGAGGCTGTGTGCCCCGTCCTTTTCCTCCCCCTTGGCTTGGTTGCCTGTGTTTTTCACCAAAGGGATTCAGCACAACACTTCCGCAAAGAAATAATGATCTGGGTGAGGATTTATGCCACTTAGAATTGAATCATTGAGATTGGAAAAGACCACTAAGATCATCTAGTCCAACCACCAACCCATCACCACCATTAGGCTACCTCAAGTCTTAAAGTCTTCAAGGTCTGCAATCCATAGCTTGCAGCGACAGGCAGAGTCCTGCAGACCGAAAATGTGAACGTCTGATTTAGAAATCCCACCCTTGAAAAAGATAATCATTTGAGGGAGAAAAATCCCAGAGCAAAACAAGAGATTACGTAATGTTTATAAATATGTAAAGGGTGTGTGTCAGGAGGATGGAGCCAGGCTCTTCTCAGCGACAACCAGCGATAGGACAAAAGGCAGTGGATGCAAGCTGGAACACAAGAGGTTGCACACAAATATGAGAAAAACCTTCTTTACAATGAGGGTGACAGGACACTGGAATGGGCTGCACAGAGAGGTTGTGGAGTCTCCTTCTCTGGAGACATTCAAAACCCACCTGGACACACTCCTGTGTGGCCTGATTTAAATGCTCCTGCTCTGGCAGAGGGATTGGACTAGATGATCCTTCACGGTCCCTTGCAATTGCTGGCATTCTGTGATTCTGTGATTAAAGAAAAGGAGAGCCGCATTAACAACTTGCTAATATCTCCCAGCATCTTGCTAAAAGAAAGGAGTACTTGGTACAGTTTTTATGAGAAGTTGGGTTTTTCTTTTGGAAGTAGATGTGGTGTGTGACACAAAATATTCACAATCACAAGTTAAAAGGCAGTTTGCTACTCAAACTGTTTTGCAAGCAATGAGAATTCATTGGTCTGTGGTGCATCATATATCTTCTATCTCGGTGTGTCCACATAAATGAAGTGTGCAAAATAGCTACTTTCTCCATGAGTAAGTGCTTATTTCCTAGTACAGACACTGAGATGGATATAAAAAGTCCATTTCTGAATGAGAAAAAAAAATCTATCATTGCTGGGAAACAACTGGAATGCTTCTGTTTTGTCAGACCAGTCAGCAATGCCCATAGAAGCTGGTGCATGAAGGTAGTTGAGATGAAACACATCACCAGACATGGCTGCACAGAGCTTGGTGGGCTTTGTCCTTCTGTATTTCATCTGGCCTTTCTGCACACTGCTTTGAGAAGCACTACGAGGGGAAAAAATAACAATAATAAAAATAAGCGGGAATTAAAATTTTTCTCTTTCAGTTTGTTTCTTTCTATAATTTAGGTATGTTTTCCACAGTTTTGTGAAATACAGTTACCTAACACCATTTGCACTTAGCTCTTCCCTCTAAGATAAATGTTTCTGGACTGCTTTTCAGGGTAACTGTAGAAAAACCCTCTTCAACAGAGACTTGTGAGGATTTCCATGCTAGAGCTAAGGATGATGTCTGTGCTGGGATATCCACACATTTATATGAAGCTCTTGTTCACACAAATACTAGATGATATTCAAAAATTCCTTTTCAGCTTCAGCCAGTCTGTTTTTGTTTTTAAATAGCTTTTACTCTCCTAATTGGCTGTTCCTTTCTCATTGCTTTATTCTGCTACTTCTGTGTGCTGTTGTTTGTTCTCATTGCCTACTGAAATTGTTGGACTTGAATCAGTCAGCACTGTCATTTCCAGGACTGAGTCCAAATATCTTCAACTAATCAAGTCCTGGACAGTTATTTCCCAGAAATGGTGCTGGAAACATCAGTCTCAGACAGCCCCAGCAGTAAGGCTTTGCAGTTGGACTGACCCAAAATACCCACAGGGCACAGTCACAGTCACTGTGTCTGCATCCAGCCCAGAGAACATAACAGTCCCTCCACTGGAAATAAAGACCATATTTGTGAAACAATTAATAATCTCATCCTTTATCTATCAGTGTGTTCCTTGAAGTTTGTGACCGGGGAGCTTAACAGAGACCTGTAAGGCTGGATATCTGGCCTTGGTGAGCACACTGCAATGCCTCCCTGGGGAATATCCAAGCACCAACACTGAGTTTCAGTATAAATTGAGCTGCCTCAGCTTTATGCTTAATAAACAGTAAGTAACCGGCATCAGCTTTGTTGAGCAGTATCCCTCTCCTTAATGAAAGTTACAAATATTCACTAGCTTGCTACAGAGGGGTTAGCAAAGATTTATGCTCTGTTTTAAGCACATGGCAGAATAGCTTCTGTATTCACATAATCAGTAGCCCATAAAACCTTAAAGGGAATTTTTATCCCAGAGACTCATTTCTGTCTCTACCAGGGGCTCCGAGGCAATGTCATGGAGCTGTGTCAGGGAGGGGTCATGTTGGGTATTAGGAAAAGTTTCTCCTCCAGAAGGTGGTTGAGCCCTGGAACAGGTTTCCCAGGCCAGTGGTCACAGCCCCAAGCTGCTAGAGTTCAAGCAGCATTTGAGCAACACTTTCAAATGTAGGGTTTGAATTTTGGGTTGTTCTGTATGGAGCCAGGAGTTGGACTTGATGATCCTTGTAGGTCACTTCCAATGTGGGATATTCTATGATTCTGTGTTTCTATGATTTAGTAATAAAGCTGTGAGCGGGCTTTCATGAAGAACACATTTTTAACCAGAAAGAGTCTCTTAAGATATTTAGAGAAGGAAAAACTGAAAACCTTTGAAATGTCTTTCAATTGAGCTTTTAAAGGAATTTAAATGATGCCATTTGTGTGTAACAGCTAGATCACAAATTTGGATTCTGATTAAATACTGGGGAGAAACTTCACATCACGTCATTCTGCTTACAGATTTATCCATTGTGAGATGTGACCAAAGTTACTTGGAGATACGCCCCTTTCTCCTTCTCCATGGGTACAGCCACTGTGCAACCTGTGGAAAAACAAAAGAAAGCAAAAAGATTTGCCATTGCGTTGCTATATGGAAAATACCAGTAGGATCATTGTAGTCACACAAGTCACGAGTTTCTTTTGAAGTTCTCTACGGTCAGGTAATGTAAACATCAAGGTTTTACTGGAATTTCTCTCTCAAAATACTTCAAATTCTGGCTATGGTTCCTGGATGAAGCCACCAGTGTTTGGTACCACGTTAGTCCTTAGATAATGATATTCATTTTTACCAGACTATATTCAGTCACACCATACTTCAAGAAAAACACATGAGCAGCTTTCATTACCTTGTTGCATAAGTTAAGGAGCAGATAATGCTAAGTTTTACTAGCAGCGTTGAGGGCCAATGCATCTTTAATAGTTACACAATATTGCAGGTATAACTGTTTCTCTAAATATTAGACCTGAATAGCTGTCTCTGTTCCTTGGTATCTTTTATTACCTCCAGCTCTATAAACATCTCTTCCATTTCTTCGACTAATGAAAACCCTACTATATTCCCTTCTGCAAAAGCAGCCCTACTTTTTTTCTTCTGTTCCCTATGTCCCCCCATGACATGGGTTCAAATTAAATGGTGTTCTATACCTAAGCATTTTTTTCCAAGACAAGCCTTATGGATTCCCGAATGTTAACAGTCTACAGGGAGAAAAACAACATAAATTCTTTTCAATCCATATGTTTGGCAATAATAATAATGGGGGAATCACCTGTTGCTATTTCTCGTGCTGCTTGGTTAAAGGAATGTGTTTCTCTGCTGTCACCCAAATCATGAGGTTTTCCCCCTGTGTTATAGTGTTAAAAGCTTGGAACTGGTCAACCAAGAGAGTACAGGGTGAGCAGGAGCACTGTGAACAAACAGCACAATTCCTGACACAATATCTCTCAGCTCCCTAATTGCAAAGAAATCATCACGTGCTGATGGCATTGCAGAATACTTTGACCTGAAAACCTAGCCTGCAGCCTTCACTAGAGATAACTTGATAATATCTTCACAGAACCACAGAATCACAGAATTGTAGGGATTGGAAGGGACCTCCAGAGATCATCGAGTCCAACCCCCCTGCCAAAGCAGGTTCCTTACAGCAGGTCGCACAAGTAGGTGTCCAGGTGGGTCTTGAACATCTCCAGAGAAGGAGACTCCATGACCTCCCTGGGCAGCCTGTTCCAGTGCTCCGTCACCTCACTGTAAAGAAGTTCTTGTGCACATTTGTGCAGAACTTCCTATGCTGCAGTTTCCAGCCATTCCCCCTTGTCCTGTCTCCACACACTGCTGAAAACAGTCTGGCCTCTTGCTAACAAATAAACCAAAGCACTGGTAACACAAATTATTCCTGCTATGTTGAGTGATACCCAAATTCACTGTGAACTCAACTCTTTCTACCTAAAGCATTTTTGCCATCCCATGCCTGCAGGGTGTGGGACAACAACTTACAAAGTCACAGTTTCATGCTGCTGAACACTACACTGTCAAGATGCTCTGCTTCGACCCTTTAGAAGGACTTTGCATAACATTTCACAATTACAGTTTAATCTTCTCATGTGTCTATGGTTTATGCACAGATAAAGAATTTCAGCAGTTGCTATCCTTTCTTCCTGAAGCCAAGGAATTAAACTAGATTCCTCTTGTTCTGACCTGCACGCATTAGAACACAGATGGTTGTTAATATTTAACTGTACCTTAATCTTTTGCTCATGAAAAATATTTACACATCTCATATTAGAGAAAGCGATACTTAAGGCAATCAGGATTTGGAAAATTTCTGTATTTTTTGTGTTTAAACAGCTGGCGTCAGAAGCCTTCTCAATCCCTACCATACACTGTATCCTGATGTTCTAAAATTGAAATTGTATGGTAGTCTCTTCCTACTATGTTCATGCACCTAGTAACAGACCAGTTTCTTGGAGATGATGCATGTCCAAGTGAATTTCCATAGATGATGTAGGCAATTGCTCCCTACAGAAAAACCTCAGCTGGAGCCTGTCGATGCTCACTATGCAGGCCAGTGTGGGAGTTTACCTGCTGGCTGCTACAGCAGTCTACATCCTGCCATACTCACAGATATTTTTCCTGTTTAACAGTCTTATCTTTTTTTTTCCAGTACTTTTAAAAATTATTATTTCAATATGGACACAAACTAAAAATTCCAAAACGATGACTGAATCTGAGTGGCTCCTTTGTCATTTTTCCAAGGCCTTTGTTTTCAGAGGGTGGCTGGTCAACCTTTTGTGACTCTCAGATCACATTAAAACATCACAAGCTGGATAAAATACATACTTTTATAATGCCTACTTATAAATGGCATTACTGGCAAAGCCAGAAATTAGATGAAGAGATTCTATCATCAGAAACATTTAGGAGGTTGCATCAGAAGAAATGTTCAGCTTAAGGCTTTTGTAAATGCACAGCTAGGGAGCTTTCTGGTCTCTAGACCTCAGAGAGAAATGGGAAGGTGAAGTCTTTTCAACAGAAATATAGATATATATGTATGAACAAAACTGTGCAAGCTTGTAATAACTGAGGAATCACAACTGGACAGGAGCGAGATTTCTTAGTCATCCATGTCCAAATGTGGTGGGGTTTGGATCTGATTTCAAAGGCACAGAGATAGGTCTCTATTTAAATATTTTCTGAAGTTATATTGAAGTCTCATAACTATCGAGTTCCTGTCTGTTAACATGCAGTTTTGACAAAGATCTATCAATTCCAGGCAAATTAAGCTCTCTCAAAGTCTGTGAAATAGTTGGCTGCATAGACTGTTCACATACCCCAGCTCAGGGAAAGATAGCAGTGGGAGCTCCTGTGTTAATGGACCCTGGGGAATCCACTGAGGAGAAAAATTACTCCACAAGCCATCATTCAGGGAGATACTTACTTGGGGGTTGGACTCGATGATCTCTGGAGGTCCCTTCCAACCCCTACAATTCTGTGATTCTGTGATACTTCTTTAATACATCAGTCATAAGATATCAATTACGAAGACAATTACAGTAGCACCGTGCTTTCAGAACAAATTTTAATTTATGTTTTTACTGTACCTCAATTTTTTCAGACCTTTTTCCTCCAGCAAGAGACCCTTAGACAACTTTTGGGAAGTTCTGCTGGCTTCTGCTTGTAGGGGATGTTATTCTCTTCTCAAGGGTAATGTAGCAACTTTCCTCACACTGTGAAAGTCACAAAAAATGCAGATTTCAGGTCTTTAGAACATGCTAGATGGATGAAACAGACTTCTCAAATATCTCTCTTGCCATTTCCAGAGGTTCTCAGCTTCTACTAGAAATAGTGCAAGTGCATTGATTTGTTCGCTGTCTGAATTCCTGCCAATTTTTTTGCCAACTCTTTCTGTCCAGATATATATCATTGACTTGGGCACATAATTCTCACTAATGGTAGAGTAGTATCCTTCATCCTTATCACTGAAGGCTCTTTTCCCACTTGCTTTTTCCAATCTAGTTTCTAGGGTTTCCAAAACCGAAACAAAACAAAACTCACAAAATAAAATAAAGCAGAACAAAACAAGAACCATCTTTCACTTCTCAGTGAGACTCATAGATAAGGGTTGGAAATGAGGACCGTTCCCAGAGGATAGCTCAATGGTGTCGAAATGGTATAAATAAAGTTTTGTTTGGGGAACACATTCATCTGAAAGATTTACAATTTTTTGCATCTTTAGAACACATTAAAAATACAAGATAGTGATAAATATTCAAAAGAGTAAAAAGTGATTCTAAATACCCCCTACACTTACTGTGTAAGATTTTATTCTGTGTGCCAAAATCCTCAATCCACACAGGAAAATGCCTGTTGTTGGGATAGGGTAATAGGGAGTGACCTGTAAGATCAACAGTTTCTCATTCTAATTGTGATGGGCACTATCAGCCTATCTACCAGCTATCAACCAATGGGGGGATACTTAGCTCTTATTTGAAATGGATTTTAATTAAGCAATAATTCTCCTGTAAGAAAAAGAAAAAAGCAAACATTTTCAGTCTCAGCAACTGAGCATGTTGTCATCAATATCCTTAAGTATTCAAAGCATTATTTCACCTGCAGATCAGATTCTCTAAAAGACAAATATATTTCTCAAATATCAAATTTATTTTATATTAATAGAACTTGCAAATACCTTCTCTGTTTATCAAGTGATGCAGAAATCCTATTTTAACTGCTGAAAAAGGGACTGAACTCCAGCGAAACCCTGCACTTCTCCTTTTGACTTCTATGCTAGCAGGAATCCAGCTCATTTTGATATAAAAATGACAATAGTAGGTAAAGGATTGAAGTGGGAGATCTTCATTCTGTTTCTGGTTTGTTTCTTTTTTGTTCCTTTGTAAAACAGCAGACACCTGTCTGGTAATCAGGATTGCTACCTGCTGCTGGTTTCTTTTAAACTACCTTTTGTTACCTCTCTTCCAGCTTCACAGACCAACGTTGAAGTTTCCGTGACAAAAAACCTGCAGGTTCCAGAAACAAAACCAAGGTCACAAACACCAACCTGGGACTGTCAGAGCAGGTTGTCAGAGATGGGATAGGTGGGAGGCTGAACTGCAGCTGTCAGAGCCAGGAGAGATCTGTGCCTCTCTTCTCACTTCTGAGCCACCTGAACACTCCTTGTAGGAATCAGAGACAATTACAACTTCAAACATCTGTGTCTGGGAGGGTAAGTTAAGTGGCCTGAAAAAAAAAAAAAAAAAAGAAAAAAAAAAAGACAGAAAGAAAAGAAATAGCCTTGAAAAGGAAGGTAAGTGAGATACTCAAGAATCATAGGAGAGATTCTTCTCCTTGCAAGACAGTCAACATTTGAATTGACTTGGCATATAAACTGAGGAGAACCTAAACTGATGATGATTTTGTGAAAAAAGTGTAGTCCTGCACTGTTTGTAATACCTGAAATGAAATAGAAGCCTATCATTCAAACCTACTACTATGGCCTTCTAAAATCACAGCATTTTATCTTTGAAAAATCCATTCTTGTTTTTTTGTTTTTTTTTTTTTTCCTTTTCTGAAAAGAGGAAAATAGTGGGATTTGCAGTGGCATTCAGCTGGTACTTCAAGAAATATTATTGCCATTACAAGGTAGAAATCTATGTTTAAACACAGACTATGAGCAGCATAGCTCTGCTTTCTCAGGCAAGCTGCTCAATGAGTAGTGAACTGAAGAATTCACATCTGATCGCACACATCTGTTTCCCCAAGGATATCCCATCCTTTGTCCCACCTCTACTGGGAGTTCCTCAGACTTATGTATGGCCATGTGAGTAGGGCTGATTGCAGTACTCTGCTTTTGCTATCTTACACAACTACTCTGTGATCCTTCCATTTAGTTATAAGCCAAGTGAAAGATTTTCAAATGAAAGATGCCTGGGAGAGGGAGAGCCCAGGGACCCCAAGGCAGTGCAGGCTTAAGCCATTAGAACTGTACTGCAGTGTGATCCAGTATCCCACATTTTATACACTCCTGCAGAAATATAGGAGTAAGTTTTTAATTTTGTAGACCAGCCATAGGCTGCCAGTCAGAAGCTGGGCAAACTCCTCTGTTTGGGATGTTGACTGAAGACTGCTGCAGCTCAGAAGGGTCAGGATATACTTGATTGATGCCCGCACCAAGCAGTAGGAAATATCTTTTTTACTCCTAAACCCAGCACACTCCCCTGATCACTGTGCACAATCTGAAACTCCTCCTTGTCTTTGGCATTGGAATCATCCTCTTGAGAGTAGAAGGCAGGCTCATAGTTGGTGCCATGCAGTTTTCAGACTGGGTCTCCAGCCTGCTGCTGTACTTTGTATAGAGCAGACTTTTGGCTACTGTGGATCAGCAAGCTGAGGAACAAAGCCAGGACATGCTGCCACACAAACACTTCAACATCATCTTAAAGACTCCTGATCAGATATTTTCACGTCCAGAGCATGTATGGGAAAAGCAGTTTGTCTGCTCTAAATCTGTGGAGCCTCATGATGGCAGGATACTCAATCTAAATCTCCCACTTTTTAGTTTGAAACTATTTCCCTTGCCCTATAACAACAGACCCTGCTAAGGTGCTTGGAATATCATCAGTGCCTTTACTGATTTCTTTAGCAGTGTTATTTTCATCTTGGAAAATGGTTCAGAAAATGCCAAGGCTGTAAGGGCAGCCTGGGCTTCAGCAGAGACCTTTTGGGATTGCTGAAAACAATGACCTTCGTCAGAGATGTGCTGACCAAATGAGCCCTTGTTGCTGCTCTCTGCTCCCTGCTCCATGAGAGCACCCATCCTACATCCCAGCTCCTCCTGAGGCAGATGGGCAATTAGTCCACTTTAAGCAGCTCTCACACAAACCAGACTGCAGTCATGTTTTAAAAAAATGATACGTCTGTTTCTGGAACCTGACTGCAATCCAATTTGTTTAAAGGTTGCATGATACAGATATCCCAGTAACAGCTCTTCAGCCGCAGGAGAGATTGATTCTACTTCCCCTCTTTTGCCAGGGAATAGCCTTAGCAGAACTTTCAAATTGATGGTAATTCACTGGTTTCAAAGGGCAGATGAAATAAATCTTTTGTAAAGAGGTTTGCCCCAAGAAGAAACTGCCAGTTTAAAGAGCTTAGAGCTCCAAGTCGTCGGCCTGTGTGCTCTGTGTAATTTAATACTGGAGGATCTTGGCTAACTTCATTAAGAGGATGACAGTGAAATTGAGATAAATCATCTCATGAGGGGAAGGGACCAATATAGAAAAATAAAATAATCAGCAGGACAAGCTGGTTATGTTACCACGCACATATCTTAGTTCTACATTAATGTTAAAGTGACTGGCATTAATATAAACTATACATTTTTGCTTCAGACCCTGTGATGTTGGGAAGTAAGATATATTGTATAATTCATAGACATGCATCTGTAGTTGCTGGATCCTTATTATGTTAGTTCTGATTACTTTCAATCCACTAATTGAGTGAATTTTGTTCTTTTTTATAGTCATTTTTATATCTTCACTAATTATTATCTCCAAAATATCTTTACAAACCAAGTAACTAAGGTTTAGCTTCTGATAATTAACAATAATTCCTTTTTTTTTTAAGGCATGGAAATTTTCCCATACTCTACCATCTCTTAATATATTCATACTAAGCACAGCCTCCAAAATGTGTAACAATGGTAAGAAAAAAAACCCAACACAATAAGAAAGCTAATCCCATTGTACAGAGCTGCAATTCTATCTCATAACTGCTGACCATATATATGTATATATATATGTACATATATATATTCACTTTGGAGGGAATATCAACCATTTGTGCAAAGATGTTTTCCCCAGAAAGCTGAGTCACTGTTTTTGTTTAACACATTCAGCATAAATTCTGTATTTAAATAATGCCTTTTCCTGTGTTTTGACAGAAGTAGCCCTGCATAACATTCAATTCTTCCAAGCAAGCAAGATTCAGAAACTATTTCAGGCTCTGTATTTGCAGCTTTTCAACATGAGTCCTCTGCAGCATCTCTCCCACTGATGTTTATTCCATTTCAGAGGTATCATGCTGGATGCTGAGGGAACAGCTGCTCTGGTTTAACCATTCTCTTACTTCAACTTTGTGCCATAATTGATGGTGCAAATCTGCAGGGTGGTCTTCGCTCTGTACTGGAGGCAGTGACCGAAGAGGAGCAGGCATGGGTTGTCACTCAAGTTTTGGATGAGCCTGCCCTTCTCATCTTCCCATCTCTGCCCTCTCTGTAGTCCCCTAGGATGGGAGTTTCTGTGGTTATTATTTTTCACATTGGGTAAATGCAAAGCACTACGCAATAGTGTCCCATGTCACTTCCAAAGGCTTCACTGCTGATTCCAACCTCAGCATTGCCATGATTTACATGGTGGCCAGATGCATGAATGCCATGGCAGAGACCTGCCAGTCACCCTGCGTTGCAGGCAGTGGTTACAACTTTAGCTTTGTTGCTACAGCTAAGGAGATCACACACCAGTATCTCTGGACTCTGCAATTGTGGGTATATTAATTTCCTTAACTAAAGAACACAAATACTCCATATTTTATAATAAAAAATTATAGTGTTAGATTGAATGAAATCCAAGAGCCTTAGCTGAAGCAGGAAATCTCTTCTTAATATTTTTATTCCATTTGCATTGACTTACAGTACATTTCCTTAGTACACATAACAGGAAAATGTTTTTATAACTGATTCATCAAAAAAGTTTTTGCTCTACATCAGCCACAGGGAAGGATACAGATCTGCAGTGACAGACAACCTACCTGACTTCGAAATAAGTGCACTAAGAAGCATTACTCACTGCAGTAACTGACCTGTCTCATCATCTGCTAAAAGGGACTTAAGCAGGGACATTCAACAGAGTGGCTAATCATTAGTTATATCTTATGCCTCGCTACCTCAATTTTGAAGATTGATAGATGCTTTCTGTACAGTTAGGGCAGTTACTGGTGCCCCTATGCATGCTTACCTGTTGCCAGCAGTTGCAATGGGTTGCTTTGCTTGCTTTTCAGTATTCTCCTCCTTTTTCAGCTCAAATTTTCACAGGTTTCTTTGTATGTATGTATTTAGTAACCCTAAATGGATTTCTACTTCATGTTTGTTCTCCCTCTTAAATCCATTAAACCTTTTACCAACAGCCTAAGGAAACTTCTAATTCTCAGTAGGAGGTGAGCTCACATTGAGATCTCTCACAGAGAGGGGTTATCACAAAGATCCCTCTACCATTTTTCTGCTTACCATAAAGTGTCCCTTACTCCATGGACAAAATGCCTTATTTTGTTCATTTTGTATGAATGTACAACAAGTGAATCAACCAAATTTCACAGAATAGCAGCATGGCTGAGGTGGAAAGGGACCCCTGGGTTCACGTGGCTGAACCCCTGCTCAAGCAGAGACGCCCAGAGCGGAGTGCCCAGTACCACACCCAGGTAGCTTCTGAAGATCTCTCTAGGATGCTTGTACACATGCTCACTCATTTTCACAGACAATGTACACAGCAACATTAAACAATCACAGAGTAATATAAAAAAATAAAAAAATCTGGAAGGTTACTGGGAAGCTCTCTAGTCCCATTCACAAAATTAAGGCAGGGGCAGCTATAATTATGTTAGCATTGACAGGTATTTCTCTCATCTGCTCATTAGGAAAGTGGACTTCCAGAAAACTGAGATACTCACCTCACTTGGACTGTTTGACTGCAACCATTAACTAAATAACCTTCTTTTCTAACATCTACAGACATCAGGTGCGTATTATGATAGAACAAAATTTCTTGCATTGCCAGCCACTCCCTAAGTGGAAAGGAAAAACTTCTTTAGGAAATACATATTTTTCTTTTGATGCTTCAGTTCACAGAAATATCAAATATTTCACAGAGTTTTTGAAATATTCCTGCATTACTGCTCATTAGAAAAGATAGTATTCTTCATCATCTGAATATCTCCACACAGCAGAGAAGGGGAATTAGGATTATTCAGGAATACAGAGATTGACTAGTGTGGCAAACAGCCCACAGATAGCTGGTAACATAAGAAACAAGGGAAAATGTTTTGTATATGGGTCATCATTTGGATTTTCAATCATTTTTCAAGTGTTTCGGATTGCAAGGGATATTTCACTTGAACGTAGAGAAATGCTGAAGAACAACTTGTTTTTTAAGCATGAAAAGAACTGAAGGAAACCTCCAGTGCATAAATGTATCACACCAATGTTTCTTTCACAGAATGAGGAGTTTCTTATTTAATAGTCTGAACGTTAAGAGCAATCAGAACTTACATTTGCTGCAGCTTTAATATAAAGCTTTCTCTGAAGAATATGCTGCGGTAGAGAGTAAGCAATATTTTCTCTGGTCATAAATAGATCTTTCAGCTGAAAGACATAATGGCAAAGGAGAAGGAAAGGAATGAAATTTCATTCATTTATGTAGCTTGGTACTCAAGCATTTGTATTCGTCTTTTTCTGATTTTTTTTTTTCTTTTGTATTACAATATCTTAGGCATTATTAACGGTATGAAACTTAACAAAATTGGGGAGTACTAGGGTGTACCATGCTCACATGAAGACTATCGTGTAGTCATAGAATCATAGAATGGCCTGGGTTGAAAGGGACCACAGTGATCATCTAGTTTCAACACCCCTGCTATGTTCAGGGTTGCCAACCACCAGACCAGGTTGCACAAAGCCACATCCAGTCTGACCTTGAATGCCTTCAGGGATGGGGGCATTCAAGGCATGAGCGATGGGATGCCCGCGTTTTAGGTGCTATATGTGCTTAATATGTGCTATATTAAGAAATGTTTGTGTATTCTACCTCCAAATTTTTGCTCAATAATTCTTCTGAAAATCCTGAAATTTATTTCCATTCCTTTACCAAAAACACTAATGGAGAAAATATTTTCTTTTGGTAAAATGGAAATGTAGCACAAATCAGTCAAATACTTGTTTCTAAGTCTGAAACAGAAAATGATTTATGTAAGGAATTAAGAACCTCTAGAAAACCTTATGAGAGCCCAGTTGTAATGAAATGTATTAAAATGAAGACAAACTTAATATAAATAATGACATAGGACTTCTAATAACTTATTTATGTATCAAAGAGTAAAGAAGTGCATCATTTAGATATGCTTAGTGAGATAAATTATGCTAGAAAATATGCTGGATATGCTAAGTAATATGATAAGCATGGGAAGTAACTTCTCCTTAAAGCATTTCTTAAAATAAAGCCTTCCCCAGGACTTTTCCCCCCACGATGCTCCAGCTCCAAGCAGGAAGGAGGGTCCCATCTTGAGACCCTTCTGTCAGGTTTTGTTGCATGAGCCAGCAGACACAAAAGCTGCTGGGAGGCACCAACACAGGCAGCTCAAGTGACCACGCAAACCCTTTTTTCTTAGGAAGTCAGGCAAGAAAACTCCATTGCTGACCTCAGATATTCAAATAAGTGAGTGACCCAGGTTCATCTGAGCTCTTTGTGCATTTTGCTCCATATGGTCTATTGCCAAGATACAGACTATGATTTGTATAATGTGTAAGTAGCAGTTGCAGCTTTTAAACCAGTGTTACAAGTTTAATTGGGTGAAATCTAGCGTTTTTTGAGATTATGAGAATCCTGGCAAGAGCTTTTAGAAGCAAGCACTCCAATCAATAACTGCAACTTGTTCTGTAATAGGGGGAACGCAACTAAGATTTGCTCAGCTCCTAGAAAAAAATTCCTAGGCCTCATTCAAAATATTAATTCTTTTACATATCTCTTAAAATAATAATATTAGAGAACATGCTACAGATTTCATAACAGAGATGAGCTAAAGCCAGTCCTCTTCCAAGTATCATTCTCAGAGAAACATTGTGTACCTTCAACACAATTAAAATGTAAGCACATAATTTCTAAACCTCAGTCGGGTCCTGCAGCTTTTCTCCCCTCAATTTGCAGTGATTGGCATGGAATGATGCATAATGGCTCACTTGGCAGATTGCCTTTTTGCCAAAGTACAGGTAGACCTCATCTGTAAGGGAGATAGAGTATAATGATGTTTTATTCCACTTGCTAGAAAATAATGATTCCCTATCATTGATTTATCTCCTGGAGATGGATTTGTGAATATATGTGAAATTAGAAGCTGTTCACATGAGGTTTTAGAACCACTGTGGATGACAGAGTAAGATCATAAGTTCATTTACAAGCACATAGGAAAGGTTCTTGTTGAAAGCAAAGTCCACTGAATATTTATTACTTACTCTTGTTCTAACATGCTCCAGATTTCCTTGGAAGTCTTCATTTTCTGAAGTTACTAATGCTTTCTGAACCTATGACTGTACTAAACACACAAAGTGCAGCTGCTTTTTCATCCCTTGATCTTCAGCTGCTGTCAGAACAAGTTTTATCTAATAACAGGTGAGTTAATGGTTTTCACTTAACAGTAAAAGCAATACTTCAGAAACAAGACAGGTAATGGCATCAACCTGTCTCCCTCTCTCACAGGCACAAAAATATATTCAGCAAAATAGGAACAGGAATAGTGTACAAGACTTGTGATGTAGGCTTGCAACAGTCTCTGAAAACAGTGCTGACAGTCTGGCATCACTCTTCAGCTGCCGCTGTGTGTCACAAAACACCATATGCCTTTTGTTACTATGCAGACACTAGATTTCACCTGCAACAGGGTGTTCTCCTCCAGGTTACTTTCTTCCTCAGCACATAAAGTGATTAGCAGGCAACAACAGAGCAGGGAGGATCTGTTTAGTAAATACAATATTTCGCTTGGTAAGCAATTTACTTAAGAAAGAGAATGCACCTTCATTTCACCTAGAATAATATACTCTGCAAAAACATAGTTTTAAGTGGTTTATGTTGTAGGGGATAAGGAGATCTAGGAGAAGACCAGTAAAAATCTGTAGGAAAATTGCTTTTTTTTCAGAGCAGCCCCACAGCTCTAGCACCATCCCAATTTGAACTTATGCTTTCAGGGTCATTTGGTGCCCACTTGTGGCCTTTCATCCTATTCCTTCCTGCCGTGGTGATCTCTTTGAGACACTTTAGTCACGAAGGTCCTTGTACCGGAAGAGACAGTGGTACCCAAGGCCTGTCCTTTCAACTATTGCTCTATAACTGTGTGCTAAAAGGACTGGGAAGGTGCATTGCTGGTGACAAATAATTGCTAATTAACAACCCTTGCTACCAGATGCTGTTTTCTTCTCATCTGTACTTTTGGAGTTTCAGTCCAAGATGAAGCAAGATGACAGCAAAAGAGATGTGAAGTGTTCTCAGTCTGATGCACTGCTCCTCTAGAGAGACATTCTGAAAGAAACAAAAAATTCACGTGGAAGTTTTTTTTTTTTTTTTTTCTTTTGTGGAGATGGGCACTTGGGTGAAATGAATGGATCACAAAATAATAAGGAACGGGACAATTACAAGCAGAACTTATTTGTTATCTGCTGTCAAACCTCAGCAGTCAGGGGAACACAGTCATACATCTGCCCTAATGAAATGCGACAGATACTTAGAGACCAAAGGCTGACATTTACTGACAGCATTGCCATCTGCAAGGGAAAGCTGCTAGTACCCAGACATCATAATCTGTTCAGGACTGTTTATTATGGTACCTTTAAACTGCAAGACACAACCTCAGAATCTTTGTATTTTGTCAGCTCTGCACGTAGCCCCATTACTGCGGCTCGGATTTTAATTCTCAATCACTCAGCGTGCTCCCTAGCTGCATGGTTAACTTCCCAAATCATCAAGTGTCCTAATAGTCTGAGATACTGATATTTGAAAGTGGGAAGAAAGTACACACAAAATAAATACAGCATGCATGCACACACGCACAAATCAGCAAGCCTTCTAGCCTGCCAGCAGGCAGAATAGAAGTTAACCTAATTCTTACCAGGGCAAATGGAGTTATATAATCTGATTTATAAGAGTAAGGGGTTTTTCAAGGAAGTGAGGATTTAGCATATGTAGTTGTTTTGATAGCTTCAGAATCAAAACACAGCTTTAGTTTCAACACACAATGTGAATACAGGAAAAACAGTTAAAAAAAAAATGAAACATGCAGTAAAGGTATGGGCTTGTTTGTGGTTTGGGTGGGTGTTTTTTTTTTTGTTTTTTTTTTTTTTTGGATCATATCAAGGAAAAGCTTTACCTGTGCTGGAACACAAATTCAAACAGGGTCTAGGGGGCCAATTCCATATCTTTTTTCCTCACATTTTTTTCTGAGCAAGGAAGAAGGTGACCTTGAGAGATAAAGCACAGGTCAGCTGGAGTGAAAAAGAGCAGGCAAAAATAAACAAACAAACAAGGAAGTTAACTTAATCCTCTAGGCTTCGATGTTTCCTTGGATTATAAGGAAGAAAAACCTGAAGGCATGCATCGAGTTACAGAAGATGTGCCTATTTTGGCCTAGAAGTAAGGTTTTTCCACACATCAGGTATGCTGAAGGCTGGTCTGAATTCCTGACTTGCTTGCTAGTGTGTTTTATTTCCTGTCTGACGGTGAACAAAGAACACCCAGGGGCTTGTTGCTAAAAACAAACTAACTAACCACTACAACAGCAAAGAGGGACTTGCTTAGCTGCTTAGCTCAGTGCAGGAACCTTTCTGGGCAGGTAGAAGGCCAGTGCTCTCTGCAGAGGCCTGCTCATTGGAGCCTGGATCCCCACCTGTTCTCAGCTAGACCCTCAGCTCCTCTGAGGGTGATGATGAGCCATCCGTCACCTGGTATGGGCTCTGATCTTCAAAATCAGCTTTAGCAAACAGAAGATAAAATTTGGTACCTTCGAGAGGAAGCAGAGCTCTCAACTAGGTGGCATCCCGTTGTTTTTATGTGCTGAGGAAGCACAGGTATTGTTCTTTCATACAGTCACCAGAGGGGAGAATGATGCTGTAGTGATTCATTTAAATTTGAAAATGTTGCAGGAATGCACCGGATCCTCTCAAGAACCTCTTTTGTAGATTCCCTTGACTTTTTTATTTTTTTTCCTGGAGATGAAAATATAGAAATAAAGAAATGTACAAGGTCAAGAAAAGAGCTGCAGGGTCAACTTGCATTGCAAGGGCCACTTTCCCAGGCACTGCAGCCTCTGTTGCTGCCTGCAGCTTTCAGCCAAAGAGACTCCCTGTTCCCACCTAACTCTCATTGATGGAATATGTGGGAAATCAAATAAATGTCAGATAAACCTGGTCAACTCTCATAAGTCAGGGCAAACTGTTCACCAGGAATAGTTTTTCCCCAGAAGTATTAAAGATGAGTATCCCGTGGGTACATCAGCAAGAAGCTAAGGATGAACTGGCTAACACAGTTCTCCTTGGACATAAACCTGTACAATAAGCTGTGGGAAAGAGTCAATATCCCACCGATGAAGCAAATAAGATTTATTATATTCACTTTCCTTGTTCTGGAAGCAGATCGTTCATCTTGTATATGAGGCTTTTCAGAATAAACTGTCCTATGTGAAAGAAATGAAGAAAAACAGCATTAGTAAGAGGTATGTTTACTAAGAAATTATAAATATATGGCAAGGACAACTACTCTGGCAACTGGAGAGTGAGGCTTAATCTTCTGGAATGCTTTTGCACACATAAATGCAAAGAATAGTAGCTACTGACTCCCAAGAGCAGTAGCAAATGTTTCACTCAGCCAAAGGATGCCATTTAAAGTCTTCAACAGATGCAAGGAAGTAGCATTTAAGTCTTCAGAACAAAACAGTAATGTTCATCTTCCACCTCAGATCACAAAGCATGCAATTAGAGACTTCACTAGCTGATGATCCTAAATGGATTTCAACTCTGAAAGCACTCATAAATCATTTTGCTTAAAACTACTAGCAGCATCTTACTTCAATGTTTTTAGAATCAAGTTAGGTGGTTTCTGCCTCCAGCTTGTACAGAGAGAAAATTAGCTCTCACGCAAGATCTACAGCCAGCTACTTTCACCACATATGTAAATGATTCATGATGATCTGAACTCTGTTGCCTTCTGCTATGATCTATGGAGTAAAAACAAACAAAAAAAGCCCACAAATTTATTTCCTCTAGGACATTACTTATTACTGCTATGCACCTTTAGTGAAAGAAAAAGACAAAAACACAACATGAAAGCCACATCACGGTGGAATACGTGATTCCACAGAGTAACTAGAAGTGAACTATTGTTGTTTTAATGTTAAAGCTTGCAAGCTCATATACAAAAACCAAGTAGCAAGCCACTGGAAGAAACATTAATAAAAAAAGATAAGCTGCCTATGTTAATTGAACAAAGAGTCTGTCTAGCAGAAAAGAGCAGCTTAGAAGCATTTACACATCCATCTACTTCTTGGTGTTCCCCAGAGAACTCAGGCATAGCTGATGTGTGCTCGTCCATCCTTCTGTGGAAGGAAGGAAATTGACTAAATCTGGCAGAGATGTAGGTGTTTTCAGAAGCCCATACACATTGATGTCCAGAAAGTTTCATGAAAGTAGTTACAGAAGTAGAGAGAGTCCTTGCTTTTACTCCCTTAGAATGGAATACAGTCCAAATTCAAAACCAGTAGGCCACAGCAAAGCCCTTTGTTCTGGAAAACTTAAAACAAGGCAGAAGGTTATTTCAGCACTTATTTGATGGGGCCACAAAGAGCCAGCCATGAGTTACTCTGGTGACTGGAAGAAAGACATTGTCAATAGCTCAGTTTTCCTCTTCACCTCTACATACTCTTAGAACAATTTAATTAATGCGTCGCAGGAACCAACTGAGAGAAGTTAGACTATGCCAATATATAGATTTTCACTGATTTCACTTTTTTCTTAGCCCCAGAAAGGTAAGCAAGTGAAAAAGGGTGAATCCTATATTCTTTCAAGAATATATTTTACTTCCCCATACCCTTTTCTGAAATTTAGATTAAGCACTGTCAGAAAAAAGCTTTTGGTAATGACTCATTAACTTCTGCACTTGATATTACCACTCATGTAAAGACAAGCACAGCATATTTCATGGTAGCCACACTGAGAACAGCTACACTGCTATTTTCGTATTCTTATTATTGTAGATACATTACAGTCAGACATGCATAAGAATACTGCTCCCCCTTCTCCCCTGCGGCCCCCCCCCCCCCAAAAAAAAAAATAATCAGATGATAATATTAGAGACTTTAATTAAAGTTTTTAGATGCATCATTTACTGTTGATTATACATCCAAGATTTTCCAGTTCTTAGTGATAATGTTAACACAGAGCGCTTTTATTTTTCTAAAATGTTAAAATGAAAAAGTTTGCAAGTTACACTGTGTTTTTCATTTTATAGTAAGGATTTCCAGTGTAACTGCCCAGAGCCACCAACTTTATGAACAGTGCTATTTAGTAATCGCTTACAACATTTTGCTGCATCCACGCAAATTTTCATTTAGGTACTGCTGCTTTATGAACAGTGCCTGAATACAATACAAAGAACACAAGCACAGTAATAAAACCATGATAATCAACCTAAATGAAAATAAAGCAAGTGCAGCAGCAGCATAGATACAGATGCCTGATTCTACTTCGTGGGAAGAGAAGCAGTAAGTCTACTTTCATATTCGTGCATCCTTCTACTTATTGACAGTGCTAAAGTGCATTGAATTTGTTTTAAGTATGTCTAGATACCATTCTGATTGTCTTGCATTTTTAAGATAGAAATTATTGTGGTGGATAACTCTTCCAGTACCACAAACCTCCCAAGCACACCTCTTTTCTCGAAAGACTTCCTACATAATCTGAACATTTTTTTCCCTTTCTTTGACAAGGAACCAGAGTCACATAAAGTGTTGAAATTTCTTTATTTGTAATCCAATCTGCATCACATCTGTAATAATTTATAGTCTGTGTTTTTCTCCCAGAAATATGATCTACCCATGAATTTACTAAAATTTCCCGCTTTCCTCACATGCAGTATAGATCTCAACTACGTACATCAGATGCAAATAGTGTGCAGAACATCCTTTGTCAACAGATAGGAGATACTAAATGCATGCCTTAATTTAGAGACATATAGTATAGATAGGAAATTCATTATTTGGGTCTCAAGAAAAACTACACTATTTATGCAAGAGTATTTGGTTTTTTTTGATAGTCTCCTATCAAACCACCTCACAGCTCTGTGAGGCTTCCTATCATTCTTTCTCTATGATGTTCGACTTACGACAGCACTGAAATGAAGAGTACAAGGTACTGGTTGAGTAACAATGTGTCTAAAAGGGCTAGGATAGTAAAGAGATAATACAGAAGACCACGTGGAAGGAGGGTAGAATAGGTTCATACGAAGTAACAGCAAAAAGCCTATATCCACTGTTATTTTTAAGTACTTATTTGCATAACATAGAGATTAAGAAAAAAATATGGACATGTAAACTTCCAGTCTATGAAAGGTGCAAGTACCAGAAAGATATAAAAATACACATCCTGCAAGTTTCTGTGCAAAAAAAGAAAGTAGAGTAATCCTAAATAAGTTGTGTTTTTGTTGTCCTGTAGTTCTCCCTCTTACATTACTGTAGGCAAACACCATTTAGCATCACAGAGCCTCCTAAGGAGGCTTGTTTTCCCTCATCCACTCCTCTTGCCTGCTCCTCAGCTTCACAATTGAACCTTGACTCACAGGCAGCTTTCTTAGGCTCTCAGAAAGCAAAGACATAATGTGTGTTCAGAAAAGAGCTATCATCTAACTGAAGGATAATTGATGAAAAAGCTAATAGTAAAAATATAACTATTACAACAAATACACACATGCTTCAAGGCCAAATATTTCCTTCTTTCAAAGCTTGCTTGTCTGAGGAATCCATCCAGAGCCCAGAGAAACAAACAAACTGTGTACTTGCAATATAGTTAAGTTCTAATTATTAGAGAATTTTTAACAACTTCACATTGAATTTATCTTAGCATTTTTAAATGAAATAAAGAGTGAGCTAGAGCATTTTCTGGTGTAACTCAATGCTGTTAAAAGAAACAACCAAACAACACAAGCTGTGATACCAACACAATGGAAAACATAACAGTGACAGCAGAGTAGCAAATTCCTAGGCTACAGCAGATGAGATAAATTCAAATACACCAACTATGGACCCAAAGAAAAGAATCTGCTTACTCTTAGAAGGCTTCAGGTATGTAAAAATCTCCAGCAAGTGATACCCCCACTCCCATCACCAACCCCTAAATGAGGTCTGGGAAGGGGTGGATCCTGGTTCTACCCCTTCTTTTCACTCAGGGGCATTACATGCACCTGAGTTCCCCTGGGTTGGCTCTGCCTTCCCACCAGATGCTCAGTTACTGGTTCAAGCTGTGACTAGCATTTTCACTACACAAGCAGATTTAAGAGGCTCAATATTACAGTATGTGGTTATTTGTGACTAAGCCCCTAGCCATGAGAAAGAATCCTGAAATTGATTAACACAGGTAGTAGAGCGTAGTAATAGCCAATTACTTAAATCAAAAAGTCACTATGAGACACATCTTGCTGAGTAGAAAAGCAATTATGAAAGTTTGTATCTTACTTTGCAGATTCTTTGCATCTGCTTCCAATATATTTCTAGGTATATTACTACAAGAATTCAGATGAAGTAGAGCTACAAGCCATTTCCAGAATGAAATAAACTATTATTCACTTAAGCTGTGTAATAGTACAATCATCATTACAGTAAGGGAGCATAAAAGTTGAAGATGCATTTATTTAATGTGTATTTTCAGAAATATAATGGATTTCTTCAGCTATATAGAGTAGTTAAAGGATAAGTTCTGCATTACCAGCTTAAAGCAGCGCTATCTGAGGTCAATCTATGTGACAACTGCAAATATCTAAAGTCACTTTATGCCCAGCAGGTGAGAAACCTCTACCATGAGAGAATTCAGACACAGTGTATTTCCATTCTTCAAATATTAATAAAGTCAAAATCCTTTTTCATGAAGCCACTTCAGTATTCATTTCTGTAAATCAAGTCACAGCAAACTTTCAAAACTTTCATAGCTACCAAACTCCATATCAGCACATCTGTTTCTCTTCTTTCAATATCAAGAAAATTAAAAGGAGTGGTTGAGGCACAAGTGATTTTTGTACAGAAGTTCAGAAGGTACTTCAAATAAGTGGACCAAAACTTCAGTACTTATTTTAACTTCTTACAAAAAGAGACAAAGATCACAGATCTATGATCACAGACATAGACCATAGCTGCTGCAAAGTCATAGTGGATAATTTTCTTTTTTCCAGGATGAAAAAAAAAAAGAGAATGGTTCTTGAAACTTGCCAAATCCATTTTACACATCCATGGTTAATCCATGGTTATTCAAAACAAATGACAACCTCATATCACAAAGCAGCCTGAGAGCATTCTGCTACACACAATAGCAAACTGTTTCTTCTGTGAAGACAGCTTCAGTGAACCCGGTAAGACAGAGTCTGGCCAGCTGGCCTGGAAGCAACATTGCACGTAGAACTGACAGGGAAGTGCACTGACAACAAGCTTTGGAAAATATGTCCATACAATAAACCTTGTGCTTGAAACTACCCTTACAGCTATGGTTATTGTTTCTTTTATGAGGCACTGCGTAAATATGGAGTTAGTCATCTAATGCACTTAATATTTTTCAGCCGAAGACTATTGCAGCTTTACTCTATGTCTAGGTGTTGATTATACTTTGGTTTGCTTCACAACAGTAACATGGCGCTAGCAGTACAGCTGATACTAAAGAGAAGGCTGAAATCATGGCAGACGAAAGGATCAATACGGACAAGCTGCTCCTTTACTTTTTTTCATGCTTCTTGGTTAACTTTCCTCTTTCTAGCTGGAGGCTCATGCTGCTGTTTGTTCGCTTCTCCTTTTGTTGGTTCTCCCGAGAAACTTGCTGCACAGCTTGGAGGATAGCAGTCTGCACTATCTGCTTGCTGGCATTCTGCAGCTTAACCTCGTCTTGCTCTGGTCCTGGTTTCTCACCTGTCAGAACCAAACGACAAACAAGGTGATTTAAGCATTTGTGGCTACTCTGTGAAATAGAGAACTGGGTAAGGAGGGTGGGAGATAGGAGTACTTGGGAACAGCTTACGACATAGGGAACCACAGAAGATGCTGTAGTAGGGTGCAAAATGCCTGCTGCATGCTCAGGATTATCTGAATGAAGAGGGAGACTGAGTCATAGACCTCAGCTACCCGCTTCCCAGCCCGAGGACAGCTGTGTCTTCACAGCTGAAACAAGTATCATTCTATTTTGCAGCAAGAGAGGGAAAGTGTTTTTTTTCCCTCATCTATCTCTGAATCATATCCTTTTTGATTAGATGTGAGCTTCTCTATGGGGATTTTGACTTCATTTTGCAGTTCTGATGCATTTTTCTTCATGACCATAAAAGGAAACAGTTTTCATTAAGGTTTCTATTTACTTAAAATTAAAAGCCTTCACCCACTGAATTCCAATTGGCTTAAATGCAAACACTTTCTTAAATGTAAGTTCATTAATCCTAAGCTACATTCTCAAAAGCATTTGAAAAACATTAAGAAACACTCAGATTGCTACAGCTAAAGTAGGAAAACAAATAAACAAAGCTCCACTGCCAACAGCAACCTAAAAAAAAATACACATTTTATGTGATAGTTTCTAGTTTCACCAAAATGCTAAAACCTGGAGCAAAAGTAATGTTCTGTGACAGCTAGCATGGAAATGAAGAAAAGTAGATAGAAAAGTAGATTAGAGACTACTTTGTTTCCTAGCAGAAAAGATGACTTGATAGGACAACAAGGAATGCTGTAAAATGGTTGAGGTCCACCTACAGGGATTTAGGAAAACACACTTGCTAATGGAATTACTTAGGGTAGGGGCTTAATTGCATTACTAGATTTGATTTTAAAGGCTTTTGAGATAATATTCTTAGTTCTTTCTTAATCCATTGTGTTATACTCACATAGTTCATGAAATGGGATTTGTACTTCACTGTCTGGTTTGAAGGCATTTATTAAGAATTATGTCCTGAGAGAAGTAAAATAGAGTGAATGAAAGATCAGATGAGACCAGATGCTCTCATAAGAGGTCCACATTTGGAGTTGTGAGACATACTGTTCCTTAAGAAATAGTTGGAAGAAAATTTTAGATAGAAACAAAAAGTAAAGTAAAATCACCAATTTATCTTATGGAAGACTATACAAAGATTTGTGAGACCAAACCAACCACTAGCAAAATAATTAAGCCTTATTCTGTAAGAACGAAACAATTCATTATCTCAAATATTTCTTTGAAAGAAGTTCAAAAGTACATTTTTTTTATATCCATGATATACATACTATACGATTTCTGGCTAAGAGTAAAAATGTAACCATGCTTTTTTCTATTGAAGAAAAATATATGAAATTTAAAATCAACATGCAACTGTATCAAGATTACTAGCTTTAGTAACTTAGTGGGAAATAACAGTAACAGTAATGGTGACAGGAGGTTAGTTGAAGTAGATGGCCTTGTAGGTCTTTTTCAATCTTGTGATTCTATGATTTGATTTAACAGTAATGTACAGATACTACTCTACTGCTCAAATATGAACTCACATTATTACACAATGAACTAGTCTTGCTGGGCTGAAAAGTATCAGCCAACTCAGCGTTCGGAAGATACATTACCAAAAGTATGGATAAATGTGAAATTCTCAATGTGAGTGAATCTGTAAATGCAAATGAGTATGCTGGATTGGGGTACAAAGGTATATGAAATGTGATCAATTTACCAACCCCCATCACCAAAAGAAATCAGATTTTATTTTTAAAAGCATACTGTCTGCAATCACATTGTTGCTGAAAATTACTGATTTTTCTTTATTTTGGAGCACTTCGCAATTTATTTTATTCTTCTTATTGTAAAAAATCTGAATTATATATATATATGTAAATATATATTAGTATGGTTACCTATGTTTTTCAGTTATTTGTCATGGAGCAAAGCTGACATTCAAATGCAGTCCATTTAAGTGAGACCTTGATTACATCTCTTTGTTAGACAGTGTTGGTGTGTGCCAGGAAAATATACAAAGCAGATATAAACCTCTGAACTACTTCTGATAGTTTAGGTATGCACGGAAAGGACATAAAGAAGCACAATCAAACATGTAACAACTTTCCATCAATATAACATATTTAGGATGATAGTAGCCCAGGTGGAAAAAAAAAAACAACTTAAATGCCCTTGGTTATGAAGCAAGACAGAGATGCTGGGTGTTGTAAGTAATGGGGCCACTGAGAGTTTATGCTGACCAACCACATTTGAAATTAGCAGTCAGAAAATAAGAAGGGCATGAGAGAAGACAGAAAACTACAGACCTGTTGGTCTACCAACAGTACTTGGAAAAATTATAGAGATTATCCTGGATGTTACAGAAAAGTATTTAAAGAACAAAGCCATTACCATGCATAATCAACATGGATTCATGTAGGGAAAATCCTGCCTTAGTAATTTGACCTTATCATATCGTTGATATGATAATCCAGTCAGTGGATGTAATATTTCTAGATTTTAGTAAGGCTTTTGATGCTGCCTCTCATAGCATCCGACTAGACAAATTGCCCAGATGTAGCATGAGCTTTTCTTTTCTCCTTTTCTTTCCTCTTTTCCTTTCACCTTTTGAGTTGGATATCAGACACAGTGCAGAGGTCTGACCCTATAGAGTGACTACCATATGTAGAAGCTGGACTGACAGCCAAGATCCATACATGTCAGTCAGTCACATATGAACACCTAGTTCCTCTTGGACTGTAGTGCCTGTCACAGCTGGCCCAGAGGAGTAAGAAATTAATTTGGTGTGTGTTCTCAACAAAATATAGGAAGTCATTGTCAGACATAACCTTTACAGTACAAAACACTATCCACTTATTATGCCCATTCTGCTTAAAAAATTTATGGTCACTGTGTGGCATAGTCCTGCCCTTGTGGCTACCACACCCTAAATTCCTCCATGGTGCTGCTAAGTCTTAATTAAGAGGATATCTGCCTTTTTCAGTCTTCCTCTACCCTCTTCTCTCTTGATACTATTTTATGTAGAGTCTAGATAGAGGGATGCTGTCATTTATTAGAAGGAATTAGAAAATTCAAGGTAAAAGATGGGATTGTGAATACAACAAATAGGACATCTACACTAAACATTAAGCAGTGTGAAAATTGAGAGGGTGTTGGGCATGAAGAGAAAGCCGTACTTTGAACTGGAAAACAGTGGGAAGTAAGGTCTGAAATCCCAGCTGCCTCTCAGAACAGTGGCTCTGCTCAAGAAGATTTCTAGGACCTAGAGCTATGTGACACATTTTTTTCTTTAAATCTAGTATAGGGCTTCTTCATATTTTTGTTTCCAATCATAGCTGATAAATGAGGATAAATGCATGTGGGTATTTGTTTGTTTGTTTTTTTCTGACCTTACCTTAACTTTTCTTGTATGGCTTAAGCTTTCAATTGTAGTTAATGTTAATCCTTCCCCTCCCCTCAGCACCGGTGAGACCACTTCTGGGGTACTGTATCCAGTTCTGCCTCACCCTTCCTCATGCAATAGAGACATAAACACATAGGATTGAGTCCAGCAAAGGGCCAAAAAGATGATGAAGGACTGGAGCTTCTCTTAAGGAGAAAGTTGAGAAGCTGAAAGCTGGAACTGTCTGGCCCGGAGAAGGCTCAGCGGTATCTCAAAAATGTCTATAAACACCTAGAGAGTGAAAATAGGATCGAGCCAGGCTCTTTCCAGGGTGCCCAGTGACAGAACATGAGGCAGTGGACACAAATTGGCTCACCCCCAACACCAGGAAAGTACTTCCATGCTCTGTGAGTGATGAAGCACTAGCAAAGGCTGCCCAGAGAGGCTGTGAAATTTTCTCCCGCAGAGATCATCAAAAGCTGCCGAAACGTGGGCCTGGGCACCCTGCTCTGGGTGGCCTGCTTGAAAGGGATGTTGGATCAGATGACCTCCACAAGTCATTTCCAACCTCAACCATTATGTGATTTTGTGACTCCATCTAGTTAGGCTGCCATAGAACTCTACTTTTTCACTTCCTGAAGGAGTAAACAGCAATGTCTGGAAGGCTGTTTCCATTATTCCCTCTTTCTTCCAGCTATTCATTTCAAAGAAAACAGCCAGCACAAAGCTGCTTTCTGAGAAGGTCACTTCTTTATTGATATTCTGCACTTAGAAGAGAGCGACTGACTAAGGAAAACAGCAATGACTCATGCAAGTATCCCAAAGGGACTGAGCTGGAAAATGTCTATCAAACTGCTCCAGTTTGCTAAGGTACAGACTGTTGTGGACACGAATAAATGCAGAACTTTGAGTGCCTATGGAATTAATAAGGCATTGTAAGAATCACATACTAATACTATTACCAATAAGGCAAAATATAGATATCTTTCCTGCGTCTAAGCATTTGTATTTGGCTGATCAAGTGTTAATAAGATACAGTTAAGTTTTATTTTTTTTTTTAAGATTTGAAGAATAATGTTAATAAAAATTCCATGACAAAATTTCAGTTGAACTATTTGCTGGTAAAATGTTACATTACAGCAGAAATATCATTCTTCTTGTAAGTTTCCCTTGTCTAATGGCCACATCAACATGAAAAATCCCCTTCATGTCAGAAAACCTTTTCTAGTCATTCTCTGCAGTTATACTGCAGTTATACTGCAAACTCCACTTCGGTTCTGCAATTGAAAATACAATGTGAAAGATGTGCAGAACTTCAAAGTCTTACAATGGCTTTGGGAATCAGTCACGTATTCCACTTTCATGTAAAATTAGTGCCATATATTAATATCTAAAAATTTCCTTGGCTGTTCTGAAGCCTCATGAAGAAAAAATTGCTAGCAATTTAGAAAAATTAACAAGCCAATAACAACACACACACACACACACACACACACAAAAGCCCTGAAAAAATAAACACATTTAAAGCAAGTTCAAATTTTAAATTCCTAGAATGAGTATTAGGTT